AAAACGAGGAATGAACTTACCGTCTCAACAATTCCAATGCCTCCTCTCAACCACTTATACCGACTCAGGCGCTCCTGCACCCACGCATTGAGTCGTGTCACAACCTCTTTCTCACCCAATGCTGTGCCCGCAGGGGATAACACGATCCACGCGCGGGGTATGCGTTCGTCCGAGGTACGCCCACCCGAAACACCCGCAACGCTCACATCGGTAATCAGCTTATCGGGCTGCGCCAGGATCGCGTTCTCGATTTCAACAGGAGACACTTGCATCCCTGAGATTTTGAGCGTGTCCTGTGAGGATGGGGATAAGTAAATCACAAAACGAGTTATGTTTATGGATGGTGCAGCTTGCCTTGGTGCGGTCTTCGAAACTGCGAACAAGACAGATCGACTCTAATATGAGTGGGCATATCGCACTTGTCTAACCAACTTACAAAAGTACCTCGTCCTCATCGATCCGTATTTGGTCGCCTGTGCACCCATCCATCGACAAACGTTTCCCGAGTGGCCTTGTCATTTCCCTTGTATCCCAGCGCCGCAGAGCCTCCGCGGACGAGAAGTTCGCCCGGCTCGTTTGGGCCCGCAAGAGACCCGTCGGGACGGACAACGCGGGCTTCGACACCGGAAACGAGAATTCCGGCAGAGCCAGGCTTGTTTTTGACACGTCCATTGAGCATGCCAGGGACAGGCTTCATGGCAATGGCCATTGTCTATCTCAGACAATGACGTCAGCGGGCTGGAAGGAGCAGATGGGTAGATCGCTTACGAATTCGGACATACCATAACCTGTGAATATCAACAGTATACCGGGGGTTGCACACGATACGTAGAGGACGCACCTTCAGAAACTCTTGGTATGTCTGGGAAACGGGCGCAAACCTGGTCGGAGAGCTGGGACGGGAGGTATGCGCCACCGCTTCCAATTGTCTTAACCGACTTCATATCAGTAGTTTTGAAGCGTGGATGGTGAACGAGCTGGTGCAGAAGGGAAGGGACGACGATTATGCTTGTGATGTGGTATCTACATTGCGACTCAAGACTGAGTACCAGAAGTACTACAGAATACGCTGATTGCTCTTGGTATTCACTTACTTGGGGATGCTGTCAAGAATATATCGATGTCCCATTTCGGGAGCATGACAATCGTGGAGGGACTGAGGAAGTTGAGGAAGCTGGTCGTGTAAAGGCCGATAGAGTGGTAGAGCGGAAGGACATTGGAGGTCACTTGTAGCCCATCAGGAGTGTTCCATACTGATGGCTAGTAGAAGAGTCAGCGAGACCAAGAAAGTAGAGTAGGAAGACATACAGCCTGAGTTTTAGCTATTTCCATACCGTTTACCATTGCTGAGAGGGTGGTAGTAGCGATATTTCCATGGGATGTCATGACGGCTGTACAATATAATCAGACGGTGCGTCTATGCTTCTGCGGTTCGGAACCGAGCCAGTGGTAAAAAGAGACGCATACCTTTAGGAGGACCACTAGTTCCACTAGAATAGATCAAGTAGGCCAGAGTGTCCTTGGTAGCATGACGGACTGGCACACGTGGAACACCGTTCTTCGAGCAGAGGAGATGAGCTGATCGTAGCTTGTATACCCTTTATTCTCTCCTTCTAAGAGGTAAATCCGATCTGCTGGAAGACCCGAAGTCCAAAGCGAGTCGCAGCAACGAGGGGCTTGCAAAGATCCTAGTCGCCTGCGCGAGAGAATTGGCGTGTTTGAGCTCGTATGGGGTTTGAATAGGATGAGAATAGCGCAAACGGGACGGTGATAGCCAGTAGGGAATGTAGCAGGGCTACATAGTCCTGAAAAAATTACCTTATCAATTCAGTCTCGAATGAATAATGGGATACAACGTACTGGGCAGTTCTCGCTCAGTATGCCTACAAGATCTCCATTCTCTGGACGAAGGCCTAGGCCACCTTGCGACAACATCAGCACCCAGTGCAGTAGCGCCATCACGGACACGCTCAACAAACTCCCTGAACGAACGCCGCTGGCCATTGGCTATATTCACGAATAATGTGTAGTCTGGCCACTCCCGCTGATCAGGCCGGTTGAAGAGCAGGTGGTGAACATTAGATTCTGGGGACCTTTGGCAGGTCTGGGAAGAGCGACTTGTAGTACATGCTTGACAACTGATGCCCGAGGCTTCACCAGTGATATTGACTGCGGTTGAGAATATTAAAAGTCCTGTGATTGACCCGGCTTTTATACAATGGCATGATGTGCCGGACTTGTACGTTTGTGGTCAGAAGTTAACCGGTTTACGAGCGCTATCTGATCGAAATTGAATCTCGCCAGCAAATTTACTCAGGACGGACCATGAAAAACGTTGGCGCCAGGGTGGTCAGGTGAGATGGGGCAGGGTGGTCACCTCAATCAAAATTGGAGCCGACCAACCGGTGAGTCGAAGAAATCAATCACGTTCACCGGGATCGAGTCAAGCTCACATGGTCCGGAGTGGAAGTGCACATGATTACACTCGTAAGATTCGCTCGTATGTTTCTGGATGCGGTAGACTCGTCGCAATTAATCGGAGGTAAAATTTTGTTTTCGCAGGTTTAATCTGTGAGGCAATTTCAACGACCGTGACCGCGCATTGATACGGTCCGTGCACCGCTGTGCTTACGTGGATTCAAGCCCCTCTCTTGAAGTATATCTGGGCACCTGCGCACAGGTGAACTGCATCTTTTCTGCTTTACTGCCATGAAGCAGAAAAATATTTCACTATATTTGAACATGCTTAACTCGTTCCATCATTTCATTCAACTTTGTATGGATCCTAAATCATGACTCTCTCATACTCAGACTAGTAGTAACTTGTGGTCTCCTTCTAAACAACCTTTGGAAGAACAAAGCCCCTCTCCTCACAAAAATACTTTCAATTCTGATTGTTTGAGCTTGGTAGGTGGTTACAGAAGAGGAACACTCACCAAGACAAATGCCATCTTTGAGATCTTTAAGCGAGCATCATATGTCAACAGAAGTGAGTTTGGAGGGTGATCAGTTGCCAAACTTGTCTGTCCTTATCACCAGATGCTTGACTCCTTTGAAAAGGAAGTTGTCCAAATTGGAGAGCAAGATCATGAGAACAAAGAAGAAGCTTCAAAAGATGGAAAGGAATTGCAAGGAGTCTATAATAGCGCAGAGCTGTCCATCAACTCAGACTCCAAAGAAGTCTCTGAATCAGAGGTTGACAAACCATTGCGTAAAAAGCAGCAAAGATTTAAACTTGACCTCTCGAACCTCACAAACCCTTCTGTCATCAGAAGGTTGAAGAAGCTCCCTGTCTCATTATGAAAAACCAACTCTATCCTCATGAATTGGGCCCATGACCCCAAACAGGTCAAGCATAAGTGGCTTGAGTCTCCATTCATCCCAGAGTTCCCAGAGTCTGAGCTCTACAACATCATCTGAGGGAGAGTTGTCAACTTCAACATTATCTTTACTGGATGGTACTTGGACAAGGCAGAACATGATCATGAAGAAAAGCTCAGAAAACTCAAATTTAAGATCAGTGGAGAAGCTGAACCTGCAAAGTCCATGTGGAGTTTGCAGGACTGGAATGTTGCCTATTCACTATTCACTCACACAATGTGATTTGCTTTCCCACATCAACTTGATGAACTTGAAGACTATGGAAACTTCATCCACCAAAAGTTTGCCCAAAACATCAGCAAGTATCATTCCTGTGTCATCGCCTTTGATAAGGCAGTCAGGAAATGCATCAGTCGAAGGAGAGACTTGCAACTATCTGATTTTGACCAATTTGTAGACCTCTATGAAGGTCATTTCTCCCTCTCTGGCTGCTGTGTCAATGATGAAGGGAGCTCAAGTGGTTCCAAGTGTCAATGAGGTGTTGATGTTACAGACTAGGATAGTTGTAACAACAGCAGCTCGATAAGAGTGATGGCTGAAGTTACAGTGGCTCAAAAAACTGTCCGCATGTTTTGACATTTTTCACTATCTATAATATTGTGTGAGAACAAACAAATGCCTCGAGGACATGCTTATACCACATTGTAGTATGGCTTCAGGGCTTTCATTTGAGCTCTACGCCGTGGGAATCGGTGGAGATATGGTGGAGATACAAGGCTCACAAAATGGTGACTCATGCGGACAGTTTTTTGAGCACATATTAAAACTATATAAATCATCATTTATGACACCATAACAATCATGCCACCATTAAATAAATTATAAAGTGGTGTCATTATGTCATTTTAAAACCATATCTAACTATACAAACCAAAAATTTCCATATGTCATGGTTATATTCACCATGAAAGCCACCCCCCCTGCTCAAAGGGATAATATCCTTTCTCTTTCCTATTCTGGCCTCTCTGCTTGTCAAATTTCCTCTAGAACTGGAGTATCCAAGTCCACTGTGGCCAAGTTCATCAAAGAAAGTCACACAGACAAGGAAAACTTCTGTGAAGGGTGTCCATCCAAGCTCACCTCTACTGATAGGAGGGCTATTATTCAACATATCACTACAGGAAAGGCTGATAATGCTGTCCAGGTCACCTATTACATCAATTCCACCATCACATTCCCTGTCTCTTCACACACTGTGAGAAACATTCTCAAGACAGCTCATCTCAGGTCAGTAACAAGGAAGAAAAGGCTCTCCTCTCTATCACACATATGCAGAGAGGACTAGCACCCTTCTTGTTTCACATATATACCTTGCCATCTGACCCAATCCTATTTATTGTGGTCTTATATGATCATATAACATGCTTCCAGTCCATGTAATCCAATTCTGATGGGCTAAGGCAAAGGTTAGTCATCTCTGCATATGTGTGATAGAGAGGAGAGCCTTTTCTTCCTTGTTACTGACCTGAGATGAGCTGTCTTGAGAATGTTTCTCACAGTGTGTGAAGAGACAGGGAATGTGATGGTGGAATTGATGTAATAGGTGACCTGGACAGCATTATCAGCCTTTCCTGTAGTGATATGTTGAATAATAGCCCTCCTATCAGTAGAGGTGAGCTTGGATGGACATCCTTCACAGAAGTTTTCCTTGTCTGTGTGACTTTCTTTGATGAACTTGGCCACAGTGGACTTGGATACTCCAGTTCTAGAGGAAATTTGACAAGCAGAGAGGCCAGAATAGGAAAGAGAAAGGATATTATCCCTTTGAGCAGGGGGGGTGGCTTTCATGGTGAATATAACCATGACATATGGAAATTTTTGGTTTGTATAGTTAGATATGGTTTTAAAATGACATAATGACACCACTTTATAATTTATTTAATGGTGGCATGATTGTTATGGTGTCATAAATGATGATTTATATAGTTTTAATATGTGCTCAAAAAACTGTCCGCATGAGTCACCATTTTGTGAGCCTTGTATCTCCACCATATCTCCACCGATTCCCACGGCGTAGAGCTCAAATGAAAGCCCTGAAGCCATACTACAATGTGGTATAAGCATGTCCTCGAGGCATTTGTTTGTTCTCACACAATATTATAGATAGTGAAAAATGTCAAAACATGCGGACAGTTTTTTGAGCCACTGTATCACTGTCTGGTTGGCTTGGTGGTGGTGCGATTGTTCTGATGGAACATGGCACCCCTTTGCCAGTTACTGTCAAGTTGGATGGTGGCAGTGACATATTTGTCGAAGTCTGTTGGAATGGTTTCCATCTGGTAAATAGAATTACTGATTCCCTTCTTAAGCCTATCATTGAAGAATGCAATTAAGATGGCATCTTGCTTTACAGAGGCTTGTGTGGCCAGGGTTTTAAAGCTGGCAATGTAGGAAGTAAGATCACCTGTCTGTTTCAAAGTGCAGAGCTTGTTCATAGCTGTGCCTATGGCATCAGCTGGTATGAGTGCTTCTTTGAACTTTGTTTCAAAGTTTGCAAAGGTTCCATAAGATTTGGTGATGGAGTTGTTGACTTTGGTGTAAAAGGTGAGTGCCCAACTCATGGCACTATCTTTGGTCATATATGCGAGGGTGGTAATGACTTTCTTTTTGTCTGTGTTGTAGATTGTAGAATTAAGGGCAAAATATGCCTTAATTGAAAACAACCATCATAAAGCCTGCTGAGGGCTCCCATCATAAGATGTTGGAGCTCTGGCTTTAAGTTCTGGGGCAGTCGTGGGTGCTGACATTCTGATCTTCTGGTCTAGTAATGTGTCTGGTTACAGGGGACATTTTGTCTCTCTCTGTCTGGTTCTGTTTTGCTGATGTTTGGGACCTCTTTGATACAGAGGGTTGATTGGGTTACTTTAATCTTTTGTTATGGACTAGGATAGTCATAACAACAGCAGCTTGATAAGAGTGATGGCTGAAGTTAAGTCAAGACCTTACAAAGGTAAGGGTCATAAGACAAGACAAAGAGAGTGTCTTCAGCTTGAATATCAATTCAGATGACTTAGGATTGGAGGTCCTAAGCGAAGGAATATTCAGGTGAAAACCTAGTAGATTAAAGTGAAGAACTACAGAGTACATCATTGGCTATATATAAGGTTTGTAAGTGCTTTAGGGCAGGCATGGGACTGATGATGAGTCAGAGATAAGGAAGGATGCATAAGTGATAAGGGATGAGTCATCTAATGACGGCAATGGCAATCACAATGTAATACAAGAGTGAGTCAGAGATAAGTCTAGTGGCAGCATGTGTGACTTGTGACGTAATACAAGGTAAAGAAACAAAGAAGAAAAGAATAGGGGTGTACACTGGTTGTAACAGTTGATGTCTGCAAGAGATGGAACTACAAGACCTGTAGTTGATCAGACTCATCTTGCAACTACCAGCACATATGCACAAAGTGCAGCAGTTCAGACCACCCCGAAAAGAATTGCCCCTCTCGCTCCTCTTCAAACTAACATGAAACATCCTCAGTACTTATGAGGAATGGTGTGGTTCATAGATGAGTCTTCCTTCAGCCCTACTGCTAAATCTTCTCTATATGCAACTCCTTTACCTCCACCCAGAGATTGTAAATTCATGGAGTTTTCTTTGGACTCTTTGAACACTCATCCTGATCTGTTCGCAATTGTCACCCCTATCAAAATCGGTGTCCTCCATGAGCTCCTGAAGGAGCATACAAATCGTCCCTTTGTTGAGTCTATTTTAGAGGGTCTGCATGAGGGGTTTTGGCCCTGTGCAGATACTACTATGGACGGTTACCATGTAACGTGGGATAACTCTTATCGACCTCTCAAGAGTGAAGAGCATTGAGCTTTTGCTCAAGAGCAAGTTGATGAAGAAGTATGACTTGGCTGTTTCTCTCTACCTTTTGGTCCAAATTTACTTGCTGGAATGTACAGCACTCTGGTTCATGTCATTCCAAAACCTAACTCATCCAAACTGCGACTTGTAGTAGACCATAGCATGGGAGAATTTTCGCTAAACTCCATGATCAACCTTGATGACTCCTCAGGTGTCAAACTTGATGGTGTGCATTTGCTCGGTCTTAGTCTTCTGCAGTTTTGTCGGGAACATGGTAATGTCCCTCTTGTCATTTTCAAGTCAGATGTTTTGCAGGCATACCAATGCCTTCCAATGCATCCTCTGTGGCAACTGAAACAGGTGATTACAGTGGATGACAAGTGTTATGCTGACTGCTGCAACAATTTTGGAGGGAGAGGATCAGCACTCATTTGGGTCTCATTCATGTTGCTGGTAACCTGGATTGTGAGCATGGTTGTCATGATTGAACATCTCAAACTCTACATGGATGATTCTTTCTCTTTCGAGTTGGAAGGTAACATGCTCCTATATGAGCCTTATGGAACCTATCTACTGTGAAAGCAAGATCTTTTGCTGCAGCTTTGGGACAAACTTGGGATTCCTCACAAACCTGGAAAGCAACTTTTTGGTCAGCATCTCACCATTATATGTTTTGATGTCAATCCAAACAGCATGATCATTTCAATCCCACAGGAAAAGAAATGGGAGATCATTACCTACATTCGCGCATTTGCAGTCCCACACCATTGCCATTCCTTACATGAATTCCAAGGTATCACAGGGACTGTCATATCCCGTATGCCAGACATAGATCCAATCATATTCCCACGCTTTCCGGACCTATTTCTGGACCCCATATCCAACTCATTCCTGGATCCCCTATCCTGTCCACCCTACGCACATTCCATCCAGCAAGACATCCAGACTTTACCTCCTCTTGGATTCCGGACTACATCCACCACCTCACATATCTCAGTCCTGTTTCCGCCCTGCCTTCCGGATCCCCAGATCTCCGGACCTATTCCTGCCCTCTATCCGAGATCCTGTGCCTATCCCCATTTAGGCATCTCCACCTTTCCGGTTCTCAGTTATCTCTATTTCCGTCTTGCTGATTGATCCTTGTACTAGTTTCATCTCCAAGTTCATTTACTTATGTTCTGTCTTACTTACCAATGTGTTTCCGCATGCTCATACATAGCCTTACTCCTTTGCTTACTGATCCTCTCAGATAGCCTCTAGTATATAACCCCTGTACAACTACAGTAGAGTCCTCAGTCTGAATATCACCTTAGATCTGCCCAATCATCTTCTGGACTTCAGTCCATCTGAGTCTTGTCCTTTTCTGTAAGGCCTAGGGAAGGATTCCCTAGGCTGGAATTCTGGACCTTCGGATTTGTCCCCTATGTCTCTGTCCCAAGTCTAGGGATTGCTTCCCTAGGCTGGAGTCTTGCCTTTCCAGTACTTACCCTCTTTCTGGACTTAGGTCCACTTCCTGTCCCTCTGACTCTACCTTAGGGTAGTCTACCTCCATTTGCTTCTACATCGGACTTTGTCCGATGTAGCCCCTATTCCTTCCGGACCTCCGGACCTCCTGTCCTCTGTACCTCTGGATGTCCTGTCCCTTGGACATTCTGCCCTCTGTACC